TGGGAAACATTATTCATTGAATAGTATAGGCTGATTCATCTTTGTTTGTCATCTTGAAAAAAAATGTTAACATATCACAACTTCAGACAACAAGGGACCAAATGCTCCTGCTCACTCACCCTTGTGAAAAATAAATATTTAAACCCACCCTCTATGTTTCAGGTAATCACTGTTTGTTCCCATCTTAAGCTCCTGTAGAGCTCTGACCACCATTACTTCTAATGGCAACTTATTCCATAAGTTAATCACCATATTAGAAAAACAAAACTGTTTTAACTGGAATCTAGCCTGTATTTTCAAATCTTAAACTTTGTTCTTATTTCCTATTATCTTCCAAAAATAGCATAAAGAAACCAGAGGTTTTTATACTCTGAATATTCTTCTAAACTCCACTCATATTACCTCTCAAGAGAAAATAAGAGATCTTAACCTCTCCTTGTAAGATAACCCATTCATCTCTGGAGTTGATCACTTTTCTTAATAACTAAGTAAACTAGTGATTACGATATTATAGTTTTAGTTAATAATCATGTTCATAACATGATTTTCAGATTTCACTGAAGATGAAATGAGTGTATTTCAAACCATTCAAACCTTGTAAATAAAATGTTTTGTGTATTATCAACCGTCTTCATCTTCATTATCAGACTTCAGTTCTCCATCATGAATTCATTCTGTAAAACCTCAATTTCTCCATACTGCTAGAAATATCTAAAAGTTTAATGTCATCAGAAAACTTTTCTGGGTTACTAATTATGCCTCTATCAATATTACCAATTTAGAGAAAAAAAAAATGAAGCCCCAAGCTCTGAACCCTGAGATACTCCACTAATAACAATGGTAAAATTTAACTGAACTCCTTTAATAATAACCTTTTGCTTTCTCTCATTCAACCACCCTACAATTCGATTTACTGGTCTTTCTCCAACTCCTGTCAATGTAATTTTGTTAGCTAATATTCTGTGTGACACCTTATCAAAGGTGAAAATCTAAATATAGCAAGTTCACACACCCTTTCTTTTGTCTAGATGATAAGTTAAATCCTCAAAAAAAAAAGATAACATGTTGGGTTTTACTTATATCATATTTTCCTACATAATTTTGTAAAGCTTCTTTCATCAAACTCTAGAAATTTACACACTGTGGAAGTAAAACTAACTGGCCTATAATTTTAAGGGTAATTCTTATTACCCACTTTAAAAATAGGAATATCATAAGTAATTCTTCAATCCTCACGCACATGTCCACTTTCTATTGACCTATCAAAAATGAAAGATAGAAACTTGCATATCTGATTACTAATCTTCTTTAAAACCTGGAGAAAACCTTGTATGGCTATATTTTAGTCTCTTAGTCTTTCTACTTCCCACCAGGAGATTACTATCTACAATGTTCTGATCGACTCTATTATTTGCCATAGAATTTTCAGGGTCAGGAATATTGCCAAAATTCTCTCTCTCTTGTAAAAATAGAAAATACATTCAAAAGTTCATCCATCTTATAGCCTTAAAGAAATACCTTGTCATCAGCATCCTTTGAGGGTCCAATTCCCATTTTAACATACTTAAAATATCCTTGTTGTTAGTTTTAACATTATCAGCCAGCAGTTTCTCATAACTATTATGGATTTTCTAATTTTTTTTTAAACCAAATCCACAGTTTTCCTATAGCTCTGTAAATCTTCCAACCTCTCTGTTAATTTATACTTTGTAAACTTATAGTATTTGTCTCTGATCTACTCTGTTATGTCTTTAGTAAACAAATTAGATTTGATATTTTCTGTTATCCTTTATCTCTTTTTTTAGGAACATGCCTATCTTGAATTAAAAGCAACTTATTTATAGATTCCCAAACTTGTTCCAAATTTCCTCTTCACTTATTATCCCAATTTTCTAATAATGTAAATCAGGAATCTGGAATCAGGTCTTTTATTTTTATCACAACATGTAGTAGGAGATGGTAGAGTTCTAAATTTTGGAGCTGGCAATCCATTTGTAATCCATCTGATACCACAAAATATTTCCCACACTTTAGGAGAGACTTTACCTAGGGATGGTGGGTGGTAGGGTACTGCTGACTGACTGCCTTCCCTGTTGTTAGTAATTCAAAATTAGGGATAACTTTAGTAGGTTTAACATAAATACAAAATACAAGTACAAATATTACAACAAGTAGCAGACTGGCAAATCTGATTATGCAATTAACCTCTCCTCTCAGTGTTCTCCTACTTCAACTCTGCATCTATATCCTCATAGGTGTTTTACAATAAACCTAAGATGGCATTTTCCCTGGTTGGCTGTCTGACTATTTGGTATAGAAAATCAGCCTGAATCACTTTAAGTTATCTCCCTCAATTTGTATTTGATTCCATAGAATCCCAAACAATGTGTCTAAAATTGAAGTATCCCATGATTATTGTATCAGTATTCTTATTAGTATCAACATTGATCTCATTATAAAATTTAGAATTGACCTCTTTTGTCTGACCTGTTGGCCTCTAAAAATTGACAACTTTTTTATCTTTCAAACCCATATTTGTAGCCCATATAAATTCAACCTCTTGACTACCATTTTTTGTGACTTCAATCCCAACAGGCTGCAAAGGGTGCTTCTCTATATTACAATGAGCCCCCTTTTAAAGAGTCTATTGCTAGTAAATAACTTATAAAGTGGAATATAAAAATATAAATACTAATTTAAATATTCTCCAAGTCTAACCAACTTTCAGCAATTCTCATTATATCATAGTCTTCTAGTTCAGCTATTGCTCTGAACTCTCCTATTGTTCCTAATAACTTTAGAATAGTAGATACTAAACTTATTCTTGGCCCTACTGTGTTGATTTATTTTTTATAACTATTATTAAATTTTAAGCCCTGAATCTCTCATTTCCAACCTCTTCATTAACTTAGCCATTCTGTCAATTTGTTTTATTTCCAATTGCTCAAGCTTCCTCACCAATATGCAAGTTTAAACTGTCTTATATTAATATATTTACAGCTTTTACATACACATTACTGCTTAACCTGCTTAAATGGGGGCATTCTCTAGTACATAATTAACCCTTACTCTGAATAACTATCCTACAGGACCAAATAGCCTACATTTTTCCTTAAGCCTATTACTGATAATACTTTATTTAATCCTTGGAGCCTGTTAAGTACATTAGTCCCACGGCTAGCCCAATGAGGCATTCCTGAAGAGGATCATATGTCTATTTTTATCCGTAAACCTCAAAAGAAGATCTTTATAATTATTATCCAGCTTTTCTGAGTTACAATTTCCAACATAACTTGCTCTTACATGTACTACACAAAAAGAGAATCTTTCAGCCCTAGGCATCAGTAACTGAACTGACAAAACAATCTATATTGTCCTAGTTTGTTTGTTTGTATAAATTTTAGTGCAAAACTACCTATTGGGCTATCTGCACTGTGACCATTGTGGATATCGATCTGATTTTTACACTTAAAAGCTTTCACGTTTACTGTTAACCCACCTACTCTTTATCCACATACTCAGTGAGAGAGCCCCACACTATACAAGCCTCTTGATCATCTCATTCTTCATTGCAAGCAGCCAATGGATCAAATCTATTAGATACTGGTACCTGGATGTAAATTGAACTTGTCTCTTAGCTTTAACTTTTTTACTACATTGCGTCCTTGTAACCTCAGCACTTTCATTATCATTCTCTCCAAAGCAACTCTATCTAATTCCTGTTTTGCTTCCTTGATTTCTGCAACCAACCTCCTAATATCTCCTTCTAATAGAGCAATACTCTTCAAATCTATCTCCAACTCACCCTAAAGTAAGCTGCAGTGTATTATATCTTCCTAAGCCTACTAAAGGTCGCAATCAAATCCACACGTCTCAAACATAGCCCACTTCTGTAACCTATTGCACCCTATACATTCACCCCACTTACTCCTGAACTACTCTAACCATATTGAAGTTGACTCTCTTTATTCTCTATTTATAACCTACCCACTTAATATATATATATATATATATATATAAATACATTTAACTATTGCAAAGTTTATAGATTATTCTAAAACTAAATCCTCTAATTACTAATATTGATACTACAGAGAGTTGAGCACATTATATTAAAAAAATGGTAAGCAAAGTGCAGTGTTATGTAACAGGAAAAAATCCACAAACACAAAGGTTAAAGGCAAAAGCTGTCCATGTATACTAGGCAATAGTACACAATATAATCATAAAGGTCTAGCTTCTGGAAAAGTCACGTAGAAACAAACTGCTTCCGTCACTTATCCGTTCAACCATTGTATACCTCAACAAGCATCTGGAGAATGAAATAGTATTAGTGCCATTGCATACAAAGTCATAATGGTGAAGTCACTGAATGGACTGTTGAAATGGAAGCTAGGAAGTCATCATCTTCATACACTAGATGACTTATGAGAAGCAAAGAGAAATATGGGATATGCTTTGGACATGACTGACAGCCTTAAAACTGAAACTACAGAGCAAGGTTATTGTCAAGATGCATGGTCGTTAGGTAGAACATGACCAAATGTGGGGAGATGGGCTGTAACGACGTGGTGAGGCTACAAAGTCATTTTAATATAACACATATATATACTTATTAGTACACCATGTCTTTTAGCTACACTTAACTATCTGCACATTTAGTGAATAGCCTAAAGAAAACACCTAATATTCACATAACAAAAGTCAATATTTAATGTATTTTCCCCCTTGTTTTCTTGTCATTAAAATACTGTTGAAGAATTGTAATATATATTCATAAATAATTTGACAAGCTCGTTCAATTTTATAGTGTTACAGAGGGAAACCTTTTAGTTCAATTATGTTCATATTTGTTCCTAGCATTTTACTCCTTAGGTTTAATTTAAGAAATATATGAAAACCAAAAAATTAAATAAGGAGTTCAGAATAACATGGTATGTTTTTGTTTTGTTTTTTTGTTAATTAATATAAGAGTAAAAAATCACAAGAATCAGACTTACTGCAAGATTAACATTGGGTACTGACGGCCCATGGACAAGTAGTAACTTTACAATTTCTGTGTTCCCCGTCCAGGCCGCTAGATGGAGTGGAGTGGATCCTTTGTTGTCGACAACATTTGTGGAAGCCTCGTGAGTGAGAAGCAGAGCTACTATATCTCTAAAAAACAAAAAATAAAGGATAATAATAACAGAAAATAAGTGAGAAATGTAGAAATAATTTTTGAGTACCATTAGATAAATTATTAGTTTTACAACGGCATTTTTAATTCTGATATTTGCTGTTGTTGTTGTAATACTACAAGTTTCATTTTCTAAACTAACTGACAGTTTTTTGCATTTTTGTATCGTACCTAAAGAAGACAAACCAATGAGTTAAAATATTTCATTATGCTTACAAATCTCTTTGTAATATATATACAAGTACGGCAGTAGTGTTTTAATCAGGTGTTGTAGATAGTTATGTTTCCAAGGCTTAGGGAGGCATGTGATACTCTTAATAAAATCGATATATAGCTTACCAAGAAATTTGGAAGCCTGCCAAATTTTCTTTTAAATATTAGCAATTAAATCAGCAGTTAAAACTAGTACTTATTTAATGGTAGCACATATTTTCAAAACGTTATATTTATATTAACATAAATAACCTTTGAAATTTGAGAAAAATGTTAGATCCAATAGAGAAAAAACAACAGCACGTGTTTCTCAGAATTGGAGTTTACTTTTTGCTTATGCGCACGTTGAACCAATTAAAAATAATAACTATCACTTTTATAATGCACCCATAGTTGAAAGTGTCGATCTCACTCCACGTCTCGAACCTCAGATCCTCGGTTAGCAACCCGACACGCTATCCACTAGGCCCATCTTTTTCAGAAAATGTTTTCACATCAGATAACAAGAAGTTTTTGTGAAATTTAGCAACTAATCAGTGTTTTTCCATGCGTTCAATAAACAAATGAAAGCTTTAACGGCTGTAATTAGATTAAAAGGAGAGAAGAGGAAAAAGAGACCCCAAAATAAAACTATTACTAACTGTTACTTAGTATTTTTGCTTTAAGCCTGATCATGATCCATTTTCATTAGTACCAGTGAAGCTCATATTTATTTTGTTTAGCGTAAAAACTGCACAATGAGGATCGCACTCAAAATTCTAGAACAGCAGGGATCGAACTAAAAACCCTAGCGTTATAAGCCTTCAAGCCTCCCCCCCCCCCAGGCCACCGGGGGGTCCTTGTGCCTCATTACTTTCCAGTGTATTACACAGAAGGGTAGGCAAAGAAAATAGAAATAATGTGACAGAAACAAAAATTCCAATTTCAATATCAGCAAGTGCGTGAAGATTACACAGTGGTAGAGAAAATACACCTGCAAAGAATAAAGCAGGGCTTCCTATCACAGGAAGCTAGCTTGCCCACTTGAACGTTCTGTAGAGCTAGAACAGTGTTGAAGGATTCACTTTATCTTTCGTGCTTGACGTGGCCGTGATACCTCACATGTCTTGGCAGAAACATACGAGAAGAACGAGCAACTTATCGCGATAACACAGTTTACAGGCCGTGGTCGGTTCTGCTAAAATTAGTAACAATTTAATAAAAATGATGCGTATGCTGTTTGTAATGTCTTTTACTTACCAAAAGTAGCTTAAACTTGATAAATAAGAAACATTAATCCAACCAATTAATTACTGTATTATTTAGCAGCCACGAGTTTGAAAGGGCATTTTTTTATTATTAAAACTGTATATACTAAGTTATGATTGAGAAGGTTGGATGCTCTGAATCATGTCTACTTGACCTCAGTGGCATGTGGCAAATCTGAGGGCAGAGCAGATCTCACGTTGACTCAGTGGCATGTGGCAAATCTGAGGGCAGAGCAGATCTCACGTTGCCTCAGTGGCATGTGGCAAATCCGAGGGCAGAGCAGATCACACGTTGCCTGAGTGGCATGTGGCAAATCCGAGGGCAGAGCAGATCTCACGTTGCCTCAGTGGCATGTGCCATATCTGAGGGCAGAGCAGATCTCACGTTGCTTTTTGTTAGTTTTTTCATAAAAACTCCCAATTTTAATAAGTTGAAACTTTTTTTCCTGAATATCGCGAATTAAACCAAAGGTTGTAACTTGTGCATTACAGTTCAAACTTCAGAAACAACAAAATTATATGCATTTTTTTTCTAAATAAATTCTGCAGCTCTTAAATAACTGTTTTAAGCCTCCTTTTTTTTGGAGCTTAAATAACAATAAACAAGTTTTACTCTATTAAGCCTTAAAAGACCAAATGAGTTTCTTTCTTTCTCTGGTGATTTCAACAGGACAGTTGAATTGCCCTTTTAAGTACTTGTCCATTAGTACATTTGGCGCATTTTGCCGGCTTTATCTTTATTTATTTGCAATATTTTATAATTTTGAAGTACACTTTCGTCTTTTACAGTGTTTATTTTTGTGATTATATTAATTTTAATTTCGTAAACTTACCGCTGTCCCACAGGAGGACACGTAAGTTCTAAAATAGAAATATTTTCCTATATGGTCCATAAGAAAGAGTAATGTTGTGAGAGACTCCTTTGGATTATTTCGTTTTTAAAACCATGATCTTTTAAGGACAAACTGGTTAAAGTACGAATTACGTGGGTTTAGTGCTTGTAGTAACAAAATTGTTTAGGAAGACTGAGTTTTAGCTTAGTATCAGTTGATTAAGGTTTCTTTTGTGCAAGTATTTCAAAGGTAATTGTTCTGGAAAGAAGACGGTCAATATATAATAACAGTCTATTGGATTTTTGTAAATGACACCTCTATAACGAAGAGGTGGAAAAGATGGATACAGTTGATCAAATATATGATAACGTTACACACGGCGTTAACTCAAGTGTAAAGGTTACAGGAGATGTTTGTATACATCGGAGTCGATCTCTGTTATGTGTAAAAAGAAGAAACACATTGTATATTGTTTAAAACCAAGTCCAGTAATTAAACTTGGAAAAACTTAAAATGAAAACATCACGCTATGACTGCCAAATTGAAAGATTCTGACAACAAAACATCAATTCTTAAAACAAGAAAAAATCTGAAATCTAGACATGGATTGCTTTAGTTTGACCTTGACCTTCGTTTCTTCTCTAATCCATAGATCAATCATACAACACTTACTTGTGTCCGTTCAGTGCTGAGTGGTGGAGAGAAGTGTAACCACTCGGATCCTGGGTGTTCGCACCAGGTCCTCTTCTTAAGCTAGAATTGGAGAATACTTTTTTTATGCCTCTATGTAGTTTATTATACAGGAAAGTATTTTAACCGATATAAAAAGACAAAGAAAAAAGAATTTTTCTACCGCTTTTTAACAGAGACTGAACATAAAGGGGGAAATTATAAATACATTATTATGAAAAGAAACAAAACTCAAACCTATGTTGATGAAGTTGAATAATGAAATGATAACTTTTAGAGTACGATTTAAAAAATAAACTGCACCAAAATCAACGTGAATTCCTCTTCTTGAGTAGAAAGCGCGGCTATACAAAAGTAGAAAATTGATTATTTATACAGAAGGAATCATTTTAAAGATGACCAAATTGATATAAGCCTAACCTTCCATTTAAAAGCACACACATACATATATACCAGTTTTTTAACTTAAAACAAGAGGAAACAACTAAGTGAAGCTGAAGATAAATAAACAGTGTGAAAAGTTTCATATACAGTTCAAACTTTCACAAATTCAGTCATCATACAGTTTCATATCCATTTGTTAGTAACCTTTCTACTAAGACGCTGAATTGATAAACACTTTCAGGGTAAAAAAATATATATAATTTTTCTTATTGTAACAGATGCACGGAAAATTGTTCTTATTATCACAGAAACACTTTCGTAAGCATATGACGTAGAATGACTTGGCAGACAGCAGGAAACGGTAGTATTTGAAATATCTGGCTTCCCCCATACCAGGAACCGAGTATTTGTTAGTTGGGCAAATGATTAATTGTCTACGGATGTAACATCTTCAATACAATCTTCCTGTATCTTTCTAAATAGGAGTTTCTAGTGTTTTGTTCTCTGTAACACTGCAGCAGATGACTTATTGGGTTGGCCTAATGTCAGGGTCGATGTTTCGGTACACTTAAGTTTGTTTCGGAAGACAAAATGAAAATACAAAAACAGCTTTAAAAGTTCTAACTACTAAGGTATCAGGAAAGAAAGGGTTAGCAGATTCCTCGAATATACAATTTAAAATATGCCTTTTTCCTAGACACCTCTTCCAGACTACTAAACAATTTATACGAGTTGTTCTTGTTCTAGCATCTGAAATCTCCAGCATTCTGAAACACGCTATATATATATATATATATACAGTTTTCCAAAACGAATTACAGAATCCTCAAACACAGACAAAAGTTTAGAATACAGCTTTTACATGATGCCGTTTTCATACACGACTTAAAAACTCATCAGATGTAGACAAAAGTTTAGAATACAGCTTTTACATGATGCCGTTTTCCTATACACGACTTAAAGACTCATCAGATATAGACAAACTTTTAGAATACAGCTTTTACATGATGCCGTTTTCCTATACACGACTTAAAAACTCATAAGATGTAGACAAAAGTTTAGAATACAGCTTTTAGAAGATCTCACTTTTCTTTAACGCAGCATCAAGATTTCTAAGAAACATGCCAGAATTTCTAGTGCAGCTGCTACAAATTGTAAGTTTCCTTTTCTTGGAGTAACTGAAAAAGTGTGTACTGATAACGATATATTTCTCTTTGAATATAAATTATAGGTTATGAACATATTCAGGGTGTTTCATAGCGATTTTAACTTTAAAGGAAATGGAATGAAAATCAAGTTGGAAATAGATACTATATAGAAAATTTGTTTGTAATTAAGCACAAAGCTACACAATGGGCTATCTGTCGAAACCCGGATTCTAGCGTTGTAAGTCCACAGTCATACCGCTGTGCCATTGGAGGGTTGTTTGTTGTTTTGTTTTGGAATTTCGCGCAAAGCTACACGACGGCTA